TTATCACTACAAGAAAAATTGTAATTACATACGGTCAAAATCCGTATATAATGTCCAAAATCCGTATATAACATGATGTTACATACATATTACATATGGTCAAAAATTCATATATAAAAAAGGTGTAGCTAAGTTATATACAGATATATTCGTATATAATTTATATACGAAAAAATCCATATGTAATTATATACGAAAAAATCCGTATGTAAAAAATCTGTATATAATTATATATGAAAAAATCTGTATATAAAATTCGTATGTAATTATATACGGAAAAATTCGTATGTAATGTGTGATTTTATAAAAAAAAATTTGGTGATTCCACATCTACACTCAATAATTAAAAGTTTTATATAACAAATAAAAGTAAAACACTATCCAAACTTTCAAATAGTAAGAATTGATTATCTTTTATAAATAGAATTCAAAAAAACAAATACAACTCTTTTTCTTTAAGAAACTCAAACAATTACATTAATGAATCTATTATAATGTGTTACAAATAAAAAAACAAAAATTTAATATATACTCATAATAAACAAACTTATCAATCTAAGTTGGTACTATGTCAAAATCATTTACAATGATAAATACCATACTAGACACTAGTAGATTTATTAGATCAGCTAAGACTACAAAAGTATCACTTGCTTCTCTTTTGCTTCTAGAGACTCCATGTACTATAAATATCTTGTCATGCTCATCTTCTAGATTTGTTTGCTTGTCATGAAGGAAAGAACCTTGGTATTCTTCAGAAAAGGCATTGTTCTTCATTATGCTAAGGTGGTTGTATGTTGCTCATTCTCCAACTCTTATCATAGTGTCTCACACCAACCAAAAGAAACAGAGAAAATAAAAATAACCAACTTGATATTCGATGATAATTTGAGAAAACAAAGAAAGAATTTGAAGAAGCAAATATCCTAACAGGAGCAGCGCAGAAAACGGGCTTGGAGCATTCCAATTCGAAGAATTTGAAGAAGCACAATTCCTTGTCGAGGCGCAAGCAGTAGTTGCGACTGTCGCGAATAAGGTTAAAGATGGTGAGGCAGTTGTCACGAGCAACGGTAAGGGCGCACTCACCGGATGGGTGCAGAGCGAGGTCGTTGATAGCGGCGTTCCGGTGGACGAAGAGCGTGGTAAGATCGGCGAAGATGAGGTTGCAGGGAAAAGGGAGATTGAGAAGGGCGTAAAAGGAGAAGGCGGTGATAGAGTCAGAGTGTTGGTTGAGGGAACCGAGGGAAGAGGCAGCGGAGAGGTCATAGAGGTGGATGGTGTCGTCGTCACACTCCTAGCTCTCCTTCCTAAAACCCTAGGGCTTTTTAACCACGGAGGCAAATGAAAATGTCCAAGCACAAAACAACCAAAACCTACATTTTAAGTTTTACTTTTTATTAATTTTTAATAATTTATTTTAACATTCCGTATATAATATCAATAGATAATGTATTTTCGAATTACATACGAATTTTAAATGGTTATATACGGATAATATCCTTAGATAAAGTTTCCGCCTAAACGCGCCAACATTATATACGAATTTTACATACGAAAATATCAGTAGATAAAATCTGTATGTAAAATCCGTATGTAACTTATTTTTTATGATTCGTATGTAAAATCTGTATGTAATACCTGTGTTACATACGGATCAAAATCCGTATATAAATATCAATAGATAATTTTTTTTTCTTGTAGTGTCAATGAAAGAAATGCACAATGTCTCATTGTATTTGTCATACTTATTTCACTTGAAAACACCTACATGATCATATTTTCTTTTAGAGTGCTTGCACCATGATGTTTCCATATGAAAGCTCTACGGTCACCCTACCCTGAATAAATGGTCAGTCATTCATTAATAAAAAACAAACTACATGCCATATTATCTCTGTGCACAAGATTGCTTCATTCTTTGTAATCTTCATTGTTCTTATATTTACAGTCATTTATCCTCATGAAAAAATCATTATAAAATTCCTAAGATTTTCTCATGTTCCATGCTTCTTAAGTCCTCCATTATCTAATAAATCATGAACTTTTCATATGCCAAAAGTCTCGAGAAGTTTTTCCGTTGTTAGCCAAATAAAATTATTTAGCACCATAATGATAGTGCACTTTTCTTGATCAAATTATTAATATATGATTAATTTTGGTTACTTTGTTACTTTTCTACCACTAATTGGATAGACTTACTACCTTGCCTGTTCACGATACTCTGATAGGTGTCCAAATTATTAAGTGTAATGTGGGAAGAAGTTTACTATATGAATTTTGTCTTATACCATATGTGTTCGAGCATGGATGTTAGTGTCAAGATTATGCTTTAAGAACGATCTTGTTGTAATAGTGTCACTTGATTTTATTTTACAAAATACTTAGATAATGAAAACACATATCTACAACAACTTTGATATAAATGTTAAGCTTATCCATTTCAACTTGACATGCTAATTTAAAATTTTTCATCACTATCTTCGTTTGAGGGTAATTGTGAGATAATTTGAATAATAGAAAAAATTATTTTGCAGTAAATTAATTATTTAATATTTTTAATGCACAATTTTGTTATACCATATAAAAAATTAATACTTCATTATTTCTTTTGTAAGTGTATGTGTCTTCCACATATTTTTTTTTGTTAGGAAATGAATATTTTCAAAATCCAAAAAAAATTTAAGAAGGTGAAATTATGATATTTTTCACTGAAAAATCCATGAGAAATTACCCACTAAAATGACGCTGTCTTTTACAGCGAAAAAATTCTGTCGAAAATTATCCACTAAAAACAAAAATCATGGGAAATGTTTTTTACAATTATATTACTCGTGAATTTTGGTTTGTGAAAATTAGTGAGAAAAACACTATTATTCATGAATTTTGAGTTTTTCCATGAATTTTGATAATGGGAAATTCTAATTTTTTTTATAGGCCTACCAATCAAGACATCAATAGTAGAGTAACTTTCATCCACAATTTCCTTTATACTTTTTGAAATTACACTCTCTAATAGAATATTTGTTATTTATAAGAGTGTTCACATATATCTATGTTGTCGTTGGTTCTTTAGGATTTTGAAATTATACATAACATGAGTTTGATCTTCAACTAATTTATCTTTCAACAACCCTATGTCTTCTTTCTTAACAAAAGCAGGTATCATATCTCTCTACATATAAAATACTTATTAATTGTTTATCCATAATTATATACATGCATTATGGTAGTGATTGTGAATAATACATATTATATACAGCATTATAGTGATATATCTTATGGTCCATCAGATCATCTAAATATGTTTAGTAAAATCACGATTTTGAACAATCCATATAAATCAATTATCCTAACATCAAACTTTAGTGTTCATGGCCTACCATCAATATTGTTTATGAAATCAAATTTCTTGATCGTCTACTAAACAAATCGAAAACTACGTTAGTAAAAAAACAAACACAACAAATAAAAAAAAGTATATCACAAATATAGCAAACCTAATATCAAATCAAAATACTATTTGGCCTTGTTCAGGTGCACACAAAACATTAGACAATGGAATTTAAAATGTTCATAAATGGAAATTAAAAACCAAAATTCAAAATCCTGTGAAAAAATAATGCTTACCCACAAAAATATAAATAAATCCAGGGGAAAAAAATTAATGTATACAAAAATATAAATAAATCCAAGAATAAAAAAAGAAAGCGGGTTTTTTAATTGACACTTTTAGATAAGATTGATTAATTCGAAACATTTCCGTGAATAAAGGAAAAAAAAAGAAACCCTTAATTATTTTTTGGATTTGGTAGTTGATAATAGATTTGTTGATCTAGACTACTGGGTAATTCACAACATTGATGAGAGGAAAGAAAAAATAGTTTGCATGTATAAATGACTAAAATATTATAATTTTGCATACGAGTCAAGGATATGAATAATGAAATAAATTATTTTATCTTCTTTTCTTATATTATAATAGATTATAATAAATTTATATATGTACAAAGAGAAGTTATATTGCTTGTACATGAATATTAAACTAAATTTGTCTCTCAAAATTTATATATCTTTAATCTATTTCCAAATAGTTATTTCATATGTTGTTTTACCTAATACTTTAAATAGTTAATTAATTTAATTACGAGTATCTATCTGATCATAGAATGAATGCTCTGGATTAAGATATTAACTAAAGTTATANGAATTTAAAATGTTCATAAATGGAAATTAAAAACCAAAATTCAAAATCCTGTGAAAAAATAATGCTTACCCACAAAAATATAAATAAATCCAGGGGAAAAAAATTAATGTATACAAAAATATAAATAAATCCAAGAATAAAAAAAGAAAGCGGGTTTTTTAATTGACACTTTTAGATAAGATTGATTAATTCGAAACATTTCCGTGAATAAAGGAAAAAAAAAGAAACCCTTAATTATTTTTTGGATTTGGTAGTTGATAATAGATTTGTTGATCTAGACTACTGGGTAATTCACAACATTGATGAGAGGAAAGAAAAAATAGTTTGCATGTATAAATGACTAAAATATTATAATTTTGCATACGAGTCAAGGATATGAATAATGAAATAAATTATTTTATCTTCTTTTCTTATATTATAATAGATTATAATAAATTTATATATGTACAAAGAGAAGTTATATTGCTTGTACATGAATATTAAACTAAATTTGTCTCTCAAAATTTATATATCTTTAATCTATTTCCAAATAGTTATTTCATATGTTGTTTTACCTAATACTTTAAATAGTTAATTAATTTAATTACGAGTATCTATCTGATCATAGAATGAATGCTCTGGATTAAGATATTAACTAAAGTTATACCATAATTTTAAATTTGTTCCAAATTAATCAAAACCCTTCCAAAAGGTTGGTTTGAGGAAAACATATCATGAAACTACATCGTTTTCCTTGCATATATATATATATATATATATATATATATATATATATATATATACAAGGAACCTTCTTTGTTCCTCTCTCAAAATCTAAGCCAAACCAAGTTCATTTCTCAACCCTTCTCTTTCACTCTCACTCAACATTAAGATCCTTTTCTCTCCCACTTTCTCTCTCTTTCTCGAGAAAATAAAGAAAATCGAAACCCCAATTTCAATTTCAATACCATTTTCAATTTCAGTTTCGTTTGGATTACTCCGATAGCTTCAATTCATGGCTGCGACAAAACCCCAACGCACTCCACAGGAAGTGGAGGACATTATCATCCGCAAAATCTTCCTCGTCTCCATAACAGAAATCGAGAAGACAAGCGCAACGGATTCAAGAATCGTGTATTTGGAACTAACAGCTGCGGAGATTCTCAGCGAAGGGAAGGAGCTTCGCCTCTCTCGGGATTCAATGGAGAGGGTTTTGATTGACCGTCTCTCCGGAGACTTTTCTTCCACCACCGGTGAAGCCAGTGAGACACCGTTCCAGTACCTCATCGGATGCTACCACCGGGCGCACGAGGAGGGGAAGAAAATTGCGAACATGAAGGACAAGAGCTTGCGCTCGGAGATGGAGGCGGTGGTGAGGCAGGCTAAGAAGCTCTGTGTCAACTACTGCCGGATTCATTTAGCCAATCCCGAGCTCTTTCCGAGCCGGAATTCGGCGGGTACCGACGCCAAATCGCCGCTACTGCCGCTGATTTTTGCGGAGGTAGGCGGCGGAAGCGTGTTCGGGGGCGGCGGTGGCGGGGTCAAGAGTCCGCCGGGGTTTCTGGAGGAGCTTTTCAGGGACCCGGACTTTGACAGCTTGGACCTGATTCTGAAGGGGTTGTATGAAGAGTTGAGAGGGAGCGTTATGAATGTGTCTGCTCTGGGGAATTTTCAGGATTCTCTGAGGGCTTTGTTGTATTTGGTTAGGTTTCCCTTTGGTGCCAAGTCACTTGTGAATCACGAGTGGTGGATTCCCAAAGGGGTTTATGTGAATGGCCGTGCTATTGAAATGACCAGCATTTTGGGTCCCTTTTTCCACATTAGTGCTCTTCCTGATCAGGCGTTTTTCAAGGGCCAGCCTGATGTTGGGTGAGCTTAAGAGTGTGACTTAAGGTTTTTTGAAATTCATGTTGACTGGTTTTATTAGTCTTCTTGCTTTTCTCATTGTATGCATTGGTGAGAGCAGCCGAAAAGAGTAACATTCATGTGATTGCTTGGTTTCATTTTTGAAAACTTGATTAAGAGTATACCTGATTAGTTTAGCAAATTTGGTTAGAGTGTAAATTGGATGTGCTTCTCTATTCTATGTTTTGGGTTAATGGAATAGAAACAATGGTTATGTTGGTCCTTTTCGGCGAATAATTGTTCTACAGTAATGAAGGAAAACACAAGGATATTCCTCGCTTTGGACCTTGAGAAGTATTACTTCGGCAGTTTGCAGTTTCTTTAGTCTTCAAGCTTCTTAATTTTTAAGATGTGATACGACTTCTGCTTTTAAAAAGACCTTGAGAAGGTCTTTATTTTTTTTTTGTGTTTAGCTGATAAGTGGTAATTTCCCTACTCCGGCAATAAGAAAACATGAAAAATAACACTGGAAAATTCACTTACATTGAAACATTGATTGATAATTACATTTAATTGCCATTATGGATTACCTTCATTTATCATCCTGTATTTAGCTCCTTCCTTGAATAAAGGACTACAGTATGGTACTGTAACTAATCTCTCGTCCTTTGTCATTCTGAACTACAGTACTTGAGACTTGAAATTCAATTTGGCTTTGTGCCTTGGAGTTCAAACATAGAATGATATACTTGGTGTAATGTTTAATGAAGAGATATAAAAGGAAAAGACAAAGAAAGATGTACACATGGTCTTCTTTGATTTGAAAAAGGCATTTGATTGAATGCTAGGAGAGATTTTGTGGAAACCCTAGACAAGAAAGGAGTTTGTATGAGCAATCAAGGTCATTTATGATGTTGAGGGGGTCAATACTTGGCTGATAGGAGGCTAGTGGATTTTCCTATAGCCATAGGGTACATCAATTGTAAATTTGATCTCTTTATCATATTCTAATTATAAAATCCAAGACCCAATGCCTAGATGTATGCTTTTTGACTGTAGACAATATATGTTGCTTAGAGAATCAGTGAAGAAAATAGATGGGAAGTTAAAGGTGTGGACTGAAGCTCTGGAAGATCATGGATTTTGCATAAGTAGAAATAAGATAGAATATATAAAATGTAAGTTTGGTTAGAGACACAACAACCAGGGGCCACTGTGTATATGTTAGCCCAAGTCACATGATTTAAGTATCTGGGTTTCATTATGAAGGATGATGGAGACTGAAATGGAAATCTAAATCATATGAGATTTTAGTGGGTTTATAAAGGGGGAGGAGTGCATCAGGTGTTTTTTGTAATAAAAAAGTACCACTCAAGTTTTTAGAAAACTTTACCACATTGCCATAAGTGTTGTGATGCTGTACGGAACTGAAATTTGGGCATTAAAAAGCCAACACAAGAATAATCTTAATTGAGTAGAAATGAAAGTGTTGCATTCTGAGTCAGCTTAATAGACAATATGTGAATAGGATGAATGCCTTTCGCAAATGTTGAGATAGGACTTATTATTATAGATAGAAATGTCATACATGGTTTTTAATGCAGAAGAGTTAGAAACGCAGAAGCCTAAGTAAGAGGAGTTAGATTAGGTGGTGGGTAGTACTGTTGTCAGAGACAAGAGGAGAATATAGGTAAAAAGAATTACAATGTAGATCAAGAATTTATATTTTGACATAATTTATGTCTAACCATCATGGCACCCTTTGATTCATGCTGCCAGTTTCACTTCATGGGAAAATGCTTTGTTGTTTATATGCAATCCTATATTCTTGTTCCACTTCTTGCTTACTGTTTCTCTATTAAAGTCTGTATGTTTACCTCATGAACCCTAGTTCCGAGACTTATCTGAATGGGATGCTTAATTCTTTATTATTTAATCAGTCTCCCTTTTTAACAATTTTTTTCCTCTTTGAAATCCAGGCAGCAGTGTTTTTCTGATGCATCAACTAGGCGACCAGCTGATTTGTTATCTTCATTTTCGACTATTAAAACTGTCATGAACAACTTATATGATGGGCTGGCTGAAGTTATGCTCATCCTTCTTAAAAGTACAGATACTCGTGAAAGAGTACTTGAGTATCTTGCGGAGGTGATCAATATAAATGCATCCAGGGCTCATATACAGGTAACTTTCTTTCTTATAGGCAAGATAAATTGTGCTCAATTGGTTAGTTCTTATTTTGTTTAATTTTTTGTCTGCATTCCTTGTCATCATATTCATGCTAAAGTTTACATTTTTTTAACTTGTACCTGTTCTTTTGTTGCAAGTCTTTTGACAATATATGACCTTTATTTATTATTTTTTTTATGAAAAACAGGTTGACCCTATTACTTGTGCAAGTTCAGGCACCTTTGTAAATCTCAGTGCTGTCATGCTTCGTCTATGTGAGCCATTTTTAGATGCAAATTTAACAAAAAGGGATAAAATTGATGCAAAATATGTACATTACTCAAATCGCTTGAAGATAAGGTGAGGACTTGTGTTGTGGATATTAAAATTCTCACGGAAGTTTAATGTATCTACCTATTGGTAACTTTTGGTCATGATTCTATTTTAGTGGGTTGACTGCTCTTCATGCATCATCAGAAGAAGTTGCTGAATGGCTTAATAGTAAAAACCCAGCTAAGACTGGGGCAACCAGTCAATAAAATGATGATCAGAAACGCTTACAACAATCCCAAGAGGCCAGTAGTTCTGGTAGTAATAATGCTGGTGAGCTCTCAAATGAAAATTCTGCACCAGCTGAAAAGACGAAATATTCATTTATTTGCGAATGCTTCTTTATGACCGCAAGAGTGCTCAACTTGGGCCTTTTAAAAGCATTTTCTGACTTCAAACATTTAGTTCAGGTAATCACATGTATGTCTAGTAAAGTTGGAAGATGTTGGTATTATTTTATGGGGCTCACTGTTATTGCTACCTTATTGTTCATTTGTTTTGAATGATTTTTTCTAAAGTTACATAGGTATAAACGCTGTAGTCATACTATATACAGGATATATCTAGGTGTGAAGATGCTCTATCCACA